TCCAGATTGGGATAATACAAGATTATGTATTCATATGGTAGCGCCTATGTGGGAGACACCTGTAGGCGCAAAAATAAGAGGTTATCTGGACACAAAACAGCTTGAAAAGGTATGTGGGTGCAAAAATCGGAATTGGCCGAATACGTGGCTCGCACAGGAAACCAGATAGATTGGTCTAATACCAAGACTTTTAAACTATCGATGAGTAGTAACTATTTCACCTGACTGTAAGTTTCAATAAAAGAGCAAATATTTGCAATGGATTCTCGCTTAGCTCCAATTTTGGCGAATAACTACATGACCAAGTCTGAGGTATGCTTAATGCAAGACGTAATTCTTAGTCCTAAATTGTTTGTTAAGTAAAAGATGTTTGACCTTGTTTTCGCAACTTGGTCATATTGATAGGAAGACCTAGAGAAACGCACCTTGTCCGAAGTCCGTAGTGTGCATGATAATTTCCAGAGTCAGACCTTGGACATGGTACATTCCCAGACTTTTCGCCGGCATCGTCAGTGAGCTTTACCATTCTTAGCACCACGCTACAACTCGTCAAGGATATAAGGGAAGCCAATCTAATGACCAATTTTCTTCGAAACAGTTGTGATAACTCTCCTTATCTCCTGAGGCATTCATCTACCCTATATCCTCGTATCACCCCTTCCATATCACAATTTCTTAATTGCTTATTCAAATGTGGTATGATGTGCCATTTAGAGCGAATTTTCGAGAACTCTCTACACTATACGCTGGTTCTCTCATCCCCTCAGACCCCTCCACCCCTGTGCTGAGAAAGTTGATCAGTGTCTGCCATATTTTTTCGCAACCCTCTTCTCATATATGATAGTAACTAAGGCAGAGATGTTTATAGGAAACTAGCATATGCTAGTTTGGTTCATAATTTTTTCTATCTAATCATAATTGAAAAACTAAGTTTGAAGCTTTAAAATCTATACTTAGTAGGAGTATGAGGCTAGCTAATGAAATTTAAATAGCCGAAGACTTAAGAAGACTGAAAGTTTTATTCCTTGAGAATTTTTATCCTTTGGACTTAATTGATGATAATATCTTTAACAAAGGATATATTTTCAGGCGTAGATTATTTAGTCAGAGATAGTCGAGCCGAGACACTTTCCCACTTTCTAGTCTTGCTGTCATGTTTATTTCTAAGAAGATAGGAAAACTAGAGAGAAAGTGGGAGATGAAGACAGTTAACAAATAAACTCAGACACTCTTCAGTTATATCTTTTTTTAGAGAGAAATATGACCCATTATAAAGATCCGGCTGTTCCAAGTTTATGTGCCCCTTTGGTCGACCTTATATTTTTGAGACCTACCTGCCTATTCGCCAAAGATTAGCTGAGCACAAAGATTCTTGTAAAGGCAACTGGGTCTAATGGTCAGAAGTGGCGGAACACATAACAGAGACTGGACATGAGAAAGAATGGTCTCGTACGCAGAGACTTGTTGATTATGTTATGTTTGCTATGAAACGAAAGATAAGAGATACCATTAGAATTAACAGTTTAGGAAATACGTTGAATGTGTGGTAAAGTTGAGTAAGAATTAATTATGACTGATTAAAGTAGAGGAAGTTGAGCAGACTTCCGAAAGAAAGGTGGGCACAGGGCTTTACTGACATTTTTAATTTCATGCAGAGCGTAAAGTATGGATCAATATACAGATAGAAAACAGCCGAGGATATAAGATGAAAACTAATTAATGTCACAAAGATGTTACACACATTAAGAATGTCCTTGGACAATAACAATACAAAATAAATAATATATATCAAAAAATAAAATATACATTAACAAGAACATTACAATTAAAATTTAGTTATTGACACCTTATTTTAAGATATGGAACATACCAGGGCCAATGAAACACCATTTATCTCCAGGTTGCCTAACCTTATCTTCAGAGTCCGTAAACAACGTTTTTGCATATAAAAGCAGCGCATTATTATCAGAGACAACAGTAAGTGGCCGTATAGGACCATGAAGCTCTTCTCCTGGATAAAGGGGAAAGGGATCCCGATGAAAACGGTATTCCAGATCGCCATATAAAAGCTGTACCTGTCCATTTGGATAAAATAAAGCATTTCCAGAGGAATCTCTTCTAACCGGATTAAAAATAATACAAAATTCCATCGGAAGAAGGTTAATCATTTTATCTGGCCCGTACGAAAGTCTGAGAGGCAATAACAAAATAAACCAATTTACGATTCATTCTCCTTGCATACATAAGTACCGGGACCAACAAAGATAGATGTTATGTTCGTATTAGTATCAAGAATGTGGATATATTGAAAAGGCCCGACGCGAACAAGAAAGAACTCATTCTTATTTGATGACTCCATGAAACAAGTATAGTAGAAGAAATTGCGCAATGGTCTCGACACTAATTCCCCGCTATAAAATTAATAACAAAGTTCATTCATTATAAGTATATTCTAGTACATCTATTAAGAACTAAGAAAAAAAAGCTTTTTGTGTTATATTAATTTATAAATTAGTGAAAGGAATTAAACACTTATAATTAGGTCATTTAATTTGGTAATAACTCATTTATTAAGCATGCAAAAAAAGTGATATACAAAATATAAATTATGAATCTAAGGGCAAAAGCCTATAATTAAAGAACATTTATCTAAATAGATGCTTTATTCTATACAAAAATATTTCAGACTAATTCACTTTGAAATAATCTATAAAGCATTTTCCTATTCCCAAAAAATATGTGAACGAAATTTTTAGTTTTTTTATTTATGCTTCTCCATTTAAAGTAAAACTACTCAGAAATGCTTGATTTATTCAGAAAATCCCTTACTATACCTATCTTTGTGTATTAGAGCAAAGAAAAATTATAAAGTTTATTTAGACTAAGATATTGTATGGAATTTCTCTTGAATACAATTGTTTAATCTTTAAGTAAAATAATTATGTGCGAAATCTTCACTCATCTTATAATACTATCCTTTAATTTTTCTTTTATAAATAGGGTTGTGAGACTACCTGTAAATCATTTGTCTGAGTGTTATTTAATCAAATTCGTTTAAAGTGATAAAGTCCTGGTGCTTGTATTATCCCATAATGATGTGAGTAGAGCTTATGCTTCCTGTAAATCTGAAATTGATTTGCTTTTCCAAAATGTCTTCTTAACCCGATTGAACTGCAGTTTTGACCTATCCTAAGTGATATCAACATCCCCGGTGGAAGTCAAAACATAAAAGTTTTGGGTGTAATCTCGACACGTAAATCACTACATCCCATTGCCACGAGTGCCCTTGGGTAAAAAGGCAGATATGAATTTTAAGGAAGAATTTAAGGAGGCATCTTTTATATCGCATTC